CCTGGAGGTTCTCCGGGTGCTTCGTCTTGCAGGGAGCCACTCTCTCCACAGGAGCTGCGCGAGTGGTTTGCCCGGCGCTGGAGCCGTGCTGCTGGTGCTGGAGGTTCTTCGGCTACTGGGGGTGCTGAGCCTAGGGGTGCTGAGCCTTGGGGTGCTGAGCCTGGGGGTGCTACGCCTGGGGGTGCTGGGCCTGGGGGTGCTGGCCCTGGGGGTGCTGAGCCTGGGGGTGCTGAGCCTGGGGGTGCTTTGCCTGGAGGTGCTGGACCTGGGGGTGCTGTGCCTGGAGGTGCTCCACCTGGAGGTTCTCCGGGTGCTTCGTCTCGCCGGGGGCCACTCTCTCCACAGGAGTTGCGCGAGTGGTTTGCCCGGCGCTGGAGCCGTGCTGCTGGTGCTGGAGGTTCGTCGGCTACTGAGGGTGCTGCTGTCGTGGGTCCCGGAGATGCTCGTCCTGGGAGTATTGGAGCTGCTGAGCCTGCAGGTTCGACTGGAGCTGGTGCTGCTGAGGGTGTTGGCGCTGAGACTACCACTAGCGGTCCTGCTGGGGACGCTCCTCGTGCTGCTGGAGGTTCTGGAGCTGCTGGAGGTGCTACTGGAGCTGGTGCTCCTGCTGGAGGTACTGGTGCTGTCCCTGCTGTTTCTGGTGTCGCCACGCGGCCTCGACTGTACTTCGTTCCACTCCTGCAGCAGGTTCTTGGTCTTCCACCTTCTACTGGTCCTCCTCCCTTAGAGTGTCCACAGCCTGTCCCGTCACAGTTACTGTTGCAGCCTACCTCCCCTTTGCCTGCTCCTTCTCCCTACGCTGGTCCTACTGGGGGTCTTGCTGAGCGTCGTGAGCCTGCGTCTCGCCCTACGTCACCTGTCCGTGCTGCTCGCGCTAGTGGTCGTGGTTCGCGTCCGCGTCCTCCTCCTGTCCCTGGCACGCACAGGATGTCTCTGCGTCCGTCCACTGCTCCTCTGCGTGCCCCTTTGCCTTCTCCTCCTGAGTCCTCTCTTCCTGCTCTTGCCGACCCGGAGTCGGACTCTCTTCGTGCTGCCAGTCCTACTGTCACGCGTCTCCTGGCTACTGTCGTCACTGACCCTTCTTTCGAGTCCACTGCTGCGTCTGCCATAGTTGCTGAGCTCGTCGACTTTGCTGCTCGCTGTCGCCTAGACTACGCTGCTAGTATTGTCGCTGAGTCTGAGTCGGTCTGTCCTCCGTCCGTCAAGGGTGAGTGTGCCCTTGGCACGGACGTCCTTGAGGACAGGCAGGAGGAGTTCCAGTGTCTGGTAGCTGCTTCACCTCATCTCGTGTCCGTACTGCTTACCCCTGAGGGAGACCCGGATGCACTTGACATCCCGACTCCGCGCTCTTACGCGGAGGCGATAGAGGGTCCCTACTCTTCTCAGTGGCAGGCAGCTATGGATGCAGAGATGGCTTCCTGGAAGTCCACAGGCACCTACGTTGACGCTGTCCCCCCTCCTGGGGCGAACATCGTCAGTGGCATGTGGATTTTCAGGGTGAAGCGGCCGCCGGGTTCTCCGCCTGTCTTCAAGGCACGGTACGTGGCTCGTGGCTTCAGTCAGCGGCAGGGAGTTGACTACTTTCAGACCTTCTCTCCCACCCCAAAGATGACCACTCTTCGGGTGCTACTACACGTTGCCGCTCAGCGTGACTACGAGCTGCACTCCCTCGACTTCAGCACAGCTTTCTTGCAGGGCAGCCTGCACGAGGAGATCTGGCTGCGTCGCCCACCTGGCTTCACTGGGTCGTTCCCTCCTGGTACCCAGTGGAGTCTCCGGCGACCAGTCTACGGTCTCCGCCAGGCGCCTCGTGAGTGGCACGACACACTGAGGACTACTCTTGCGGCTCTTGGGTTTGCTCCTTCTACAGCCGACCCGTCGCTGTTTCTGCGCACCGACACCTCTCTACCGCCTTTCTACATCCTCGTGTACGTCGACGACTTGGTCTTTGCCACTGCTGACACTGCTGGACTCGCCTACGTGAAGTCCGAGCTACAGAAGAGACACACGTGCACAGACCTGGGTGAACTGCGCAGCTACCTTGGCTTGCAGATCACTCGGGACAGAGCACGCCGCACCATTACCCTGACTCAGTCACACATGGTGCAGCAGGTCCTTCAGCGCTTCGGCTTCACGTACTCCTCGCCTCAGGCCACTCCTCTGCCTACTCGCCACTCACTCTCAGCTCTGCCTTTGGATGAGTCCGTAGAGTCGAGTGGCCCGTATCCAGAGCTTGTTGGCTGCCTCATGTACCTGATGACCCGCATACGACCTGACCTTGCATACCCTCTCAGCATTCTCGCACGCTATGTTGCTCCTGGGAGACACCGACCAGAGCACATGGCTGCAGCGAAGAGGGTGTTGCGCTACTTGTGCAGCACGTCGGGCATGGGGCTAGTGCTTGGAGGGCGCAGTCCAGTGGTCCTCACTGGGCACGCAGACACTTCCTGGGCTGACGACCAGACTACACAGCGGTCGTCACAGGGTTACACCTTCAGCCTTGGTTCTGGCTCTGTCTCGTGGCGGGCTACTCGCTCGTCTTCTGTTCTCGGCTCCAGTTGTGAGGCTGAGATCTACGCTGGGGCCATGGCTGCACAGGAGCTTCGCTGGCTCACCTACCTGCTGACCGACCTTGGAGAGCCGCCTCGTTCTCCTCCAGTTCTGTACGTAGACAACAAGGCCATGCTGGCCTTGTGTCGAGAGCAGCGACTGGAGCACAGAACAAAGCACATTGCTCTCCGCTACTTCCTTGCTCGTGAGCTACAGCAGCGTGGCCAGTTGCGACTTGCGTACGTGGCCTCTGAGGCCAACACTGCTGATGTTTTCACCAAGGCACTTGCGCCTTGTGATCATCAGCGCTTCTGCACCCAACTGGGCCTTGTTTCTGTCTTGCCTCACTTGCTCACCTCTTGACCTTGCTTGTACTGTTACATATATATATACCTGCTCTTGCTTGTCTAGCTCTATATATATATGTACTCCTGCATGTGAACTGGCCTTGTGGCCTTGAACTTGTGCTCAGAATGTGTGGTGACTTTGTGTTCCACCCTGAGTTTTGCTTTGCTTTGCTTCACTGGTCTTGTGACCCCCTGTTCTCCCCCACTTTGCCTATGGGGGTGTGTTAGAACTTTATAGCTTATGCAGTTGTGTAGGCTATAGTGAGGTATCCCATAGGGGGTACAACCCAATTAGGGTTTCCTATTTGTACTTATTTCTCTCATAGTTCATCCATTCTCGTTCTAGTCTTTTCACAGACCCCGTGCGACGTTGCAACCGTCCGAACAAAATCTAATACCTTTATGTAAAATATGGCCCGGATGAAAGGGGTTGACACCGTCTGAACGACATATCAGACCATCCGTTCTATTTTACATGCGTAAACGTAAACGTAAAAAATCCACAAACGTGGTCCAGACGGCCTGTCGTCCAGACCTGAGTCCTGAACAGGTGGACGGCACGTTCTAACGGTATGGAAGCCCCGTCCGGACTTTAACCCGGACAAAAAAAGTTATGCGCCCTAAATGTTTGGCTGAGTTTGAATAAATGTTACACCCCTTAGCATTCGCCAGACCCGACCCATTGGTCGGATTGTAGGCCTGGTCGGTAAAATGTTACACGCCCTAACTCATTCTCTCGTAAGAAGTGCCACTGCTGGTGGTACTAAGTTCTGTGAGGTAGTTAGGGCGCGTTACTTTTTTCATTTTAGGCCAATGTCCGGACGGAGCCCCCAAAACGTCCGAACGGAGCTCCGTCCGGGCGGACGGGGATGTGGTTCGGACGATGATCGTCCGTACCACAATTGTGACACTTTTTTGCAGTCTCGAAATTTGAAATTCGTGCGAAGCAGTAACGAGCATAACTTACCTCGCCAGCACTTCGTTCATTTCGCAAGCATGCATTTGCGGCTCGGTAATGCATTTCTGTCCTCCGTCCGGACGATGAAAAGCGAAAAAAGTTACGCGCCCTTAGTCCTCGATGTGAAGGCTCAAGCTTGACATCTCGTTCCCTTCATGATCTGTAGTATATATCGAACGGGAACGATCACTCGTTGGGCCGCTAGACTTTCTGTCCGTTAGGTAGTCTTCTTAGCCGAACCGCGAAAATACTGCGCACCGTTTTCGCACTAGACGATGCGACGCTTAGAGAAAGCGTCGCATTGTCTAATAACCACGTATCCGCGTCACCTGAACCCGGAAACCCCGAAACACGCAGAGCACAGACCAACACCTCCAGGCGAAATGCCTGTCGCGGGTATTCCTGCTGCGAAAAATTCAGCCGCGGAAACTTCTGCTCCGGGCCAGCCGGGGATACTCCTGCGCGGAAACGGCAACAGCAACAGCGGAAACTCCAGCTGAAACCGTGGAGTTGAGCGAATCAGCGGAGGCTGCGCAAGCCGTGGAGTTGAGCGAATCTTACCACGCGGCGGAAACTGGCGGTGGCCCCCCGCAATTAGCCGAAGCGGTGACTTCGCCACCCGCGGTAACATTGGCGGAAGCATCGGCGGAAGCATCGTTGGAAGCATCCGGGACTGAGAAACCGCCGGAGACTGACAGAAGTCAAGGTCAACGTAGTAGTACCAGTGACCTTGGCGATAAAGATGCTGGTAACCCTGGCGATGAGGGTAGTAACCCTGGCGGCGATCAAGGTTTCGGTCTATCTCAGCTGTTACCACTGCCCCTAGTACAAGGTAGAAACGCCGCGATTCTCGCTCCTTAAGGGACAATCACAGACGCGCGCAACGGTCAAGACGCGGCGAACACGTCAGCGCGGCACCGCGAATTGGCGCGAACCGCGACATAATTGGATCTATTGGATCGGGGGGTCAGTCCGGATACGACGGGCGCACGACACTGCATCTGGCGGCGAGTGAGGGGAAGGTGGATGTGGTGCGGGTGCTGCTTGAGCGAGGCGCGGACGTGAATCCGAAAGACAGGCTGAGACTCGGCAACACGGCAGCACAGTGAGACGGGGTGCAGCACGGCTGAGACCCCAAACACGGCATGACAGCCGCAGGGCAGCACGGCGAGAGTGGGTTCATGGGAAGGCGGTGAGAGGCGCATGGGGGTATTGCTTCTGGCAGTGTGGGCTCGTTTTGTCCCCTATGACTGTGGCTTCCCATCGGGACGACTTCAACTTGTCACCTGGTTAATGATATCGAATTGTCGTGACAACACATTGTTACCTGGTTTTGTGACTCTGGCATGGCATGGCATGGCATGGGATGGCATGGAAATACATGGCATGGCAAGAAATGACATGGCATGGCAAGGCAAGGCAAGGCAAGGCATGGGATGGCATGGCATGGCATGGCATGAAATGGCATGGCATGGCATGGCATGGTATGGCATGGCATGGCATGGCATGGCATGGCATGTCATGGCATGGGATGGCATGTCATGGCATGGGATGGGATGGGCTACTTGACATGGTGGCCATTGCCCTCCCTCTCCCCCCCCTGGCAGCCCCTGGCGGACGCACAGTCGTACGGATCGGGGGAGATCTGCTGCCTGCTCAAAGAGAAGGGCGGCGTGCTCCAGGAGAAAGGAGAAGGACGGCATCTCTCCGCGCTGTGAGGTGCGCCAGGGGGAGGCGGGGGGATGTAGAGGAAAGGGATTTCGCAGGGAGAGAGGGGGCCGGGGGATGGGAGTGTAGAGGGAAAGGAGTCGGGGTGAAGAGAGGGGGAAAGAAAATGGAGGGAAAGAGGGTGTCTGGCAAAGGGTACCACCACCCCCCTATTTGTTAGCTTTGGTGGTGGTGTACCCGTTTGGTTTTGGCTCTCCTTGATGAAAAAATGTCGTGTGCCATATTAACGAGGTGATGAGTCGACTCAAAAGTCACCTCTATTCGTTAGCTTTGGTGGTGGTGTACCCGCTTGGTTTTGGCCCGTTTGTTCTTTCCTATATCTTGTACCTTTCATTCTATTGAAACACCTTCCTTTTCTAACCTCGTGTCATGCTTTCTCGACTCGCGATTCCTAAGCCTCCTACCCTAGTTTCCTAGCCTATAAAATAATTGACACTCTCTCCCCCTCCCCCCCCACTCTCTCCCCCCCCTCCCCCTTCTCCTTTCCCCTCCTCCCGCATCTCCCTTGCCGATCCTGCATTTCTCATAAGAATCCCATTGCTCCCCCTTTCGTTTCTCGCTACTCCTACATCGCAAATGCTTGAGTTTACTTGTGTGACCAAACGGAGTCATTCTAACATGCGCCTGCTTTCGCTGGAAGCCAGCCCAGCATCGTATTCCCCCTCCCTTCCCCTCCCCTCCCCTCCCCTCCCCTCCCCTCCCCCCACCACTTCCATTTCCTCTTCCCTCCCCATTCCCTTCCTCTCTCTCTCCATTCCGTTCCTCGCTCCCCTTTCGCTCCCTCACCCCCTCATCCCTTCTTCCACTTCCCATTCCTTCCTCCCCTCCCCCTCCCTCCCTCTGCTCGCCCCACCACTGTCAGGAAGCCACGTATGTGAACACGGAGGGGCGGGTGCAGATGACGCGGGCGGCGGTGCCGACAGTGGGGAGTGCGAGGGACGACTGGAAGATCATTCGGGCCGTCTCTGAAGTGGCGGTCGTGGCTCTGCCGTACGACACCGTGGAGCAAGTCAGAGAGCGCCTGCGCGAGGTACGGGGGGGGGGGGAGGAGAGGAGCGAGGCAGGCAGTGTGACAAGGAGGTACTAGAATGCTTCAAGTGGCAGGCGTGGCTCCGCCCCCTATGGCACCGTGGAGCAAGTCAGAGAGCGCCTGCGCGAGGTACGATGGGGCATGGGGGTAGGGAGGGTTGCGAGAGGTGAGGGGGCATGGGGGTAGGGAGAGGCGAAGAAGTGAGGTGCTTGTGAGGTGCTTGTGAGGTGCTTGAGAGGTGCTTGTGAGGTGCTTGTGAGGTGCTTGTGAGGTGCTTGTGAGGTGCTTGTGAGGTGCTCGTGAGGTGCTTGAGAGGTGCTTGTGAGGTGCTTGTGAGGTGCTTGTGAGGTGCTTGTGAGGTGCTCGTGAGGTGCTGGAGAGGTGCTTGTGAGGTGCTTGTGAGGTGCTTGAGAGGTGCTTGTGAGGTGCTTGAGAGGTGCTTGAGAGGTGCTTGAGAGGTGCTTGTGAGGTGCTTGTGAGGTGCTTGAGAGGTGCTTGAGAGGTGCTTGTGAGGTGCTTGTGAGGTGCTTGTGAGGTGCTTGTGAGGTGCTTGTGAGGTGCTTGTGAGGTGCTTGTGAGGTGCTTGTGAGGTGCTTGTGAGGTGCTCGAGAGGTGCTTGAGAGGTGCTTGTGAGGTGCTTGTGAGGTGCTTGTGAGGTGCTTGTGAGGTGCTTGTGAGGTGCTTGTGAGGTGCTTGTGAGGTGCTTGTGAGGTGCTTGTGAGGTGCTCGAGAGGTGCGAGAGACGGTCGGTCAGTTTCAGAGTGGCTGGCGTGGCTTTGTCGTATGACACTGTGGAGCAAATCAGAGAGAGGTTGCGAGAGGTACGAGGGAGAGGAAGGAGGCAGAGGTTGCAGTACGATGAGGCGTTGTGAAGAAGAAGCAGTGCTTAATCTGGGGGGGGCATATCGTTGAATAGGAACTGTCTCTCACCCCCGGCATGTGTTCCTTTCCTTCTCCCCACTCACCACTCACCACTTTCCACTCTTCTCCTCCATCAGGTGCCACACATCTGGCGCGGAACGACGAGGTGGAGCCCAATCTCACCCTCGGCACTCGCTAAGGCACTTACCCTCAGCACTTCAGCACTCACACACCTCTCCTTTTCCCCGCTTACCACTCCCCATCCAACCCCGCTCCTCCCTTTCGCCCATCAGGTGGCCCCTCACCTGGCGCGGACCGACGAGGTGCCCCCCCCTCTCACCCTCGCACAACCAAGCACTCTCGTTTCCCTCCTTTCCCCACTCACTCGCCACTTCCCTCAACCCCCCCCCCCCCCCCCAACAATCAGGTGCCCCCTCACCTGGCGCGGATCGATGAGGTGGAACCGCCTCTCACGCTCACCGCTCAGGCACTTGTTCCTTTCCTTCTCCCTACTCCCTACGCTCTTACCAACGCCCCTCTTCCACCCTTTTCAGGTGGCCCCCCACCTGGCGCGTGTCGACGAGGCGAAGCCTCCTCTCACGCTCAGCGCCCAGGCACTCGCCCTCAGCACTTGAACGCTCATACTCCTCTTCACTCCCCATCCACCCTCTTTTGCTCCCCGCTCACCACTCCCCATCCACCCTCTTCTGCTCCCCGCCCACCACTCCCCATCCACCCCCCGCTCCTCCCCCTCTCCCCATCAGGTGCCCCCCCATCTTGCGCGGATCGATGAGACGGAACCGTCTCTCACCTTCTAGACCCATCTTGCGCAGCTCTAGACCACTCACGCACCTCTCCTTCTCCCTGTTCACCACTCCCCATGCCCACACCCCTCTCTCTCCCCCATCAGGTGGCCCCTCACCTGGCGTGGATCGACGAGGTGGAGCCGCCTCTCACGCTCACGAGGTGGAGCCGCCTCTCACACTCACGAGGTGGAGCCGCCTCTCACGCCTCTCACGCCCATCAGGTGACGCGGCTTCTGAGGTATTTCAGAAGGGCTTCAGTGACCATGGCTAAGTGCACGTCTGCTAAAGAAAGCCAAACAGGCCGCGCAGCCGCTGCACTGAAGCGACTTTTGGGGTGCCCCAAGCAGGCAGCAGAGCCGCTGCGCTGATGCGACTTTGGAGACAATTCAGAAGGGCTTTGGTGTGTTACATATACGGTTTATGTAATGTGTGTTTGGTGGTAGGTTCATGAGGGATTTACTGCTACCGTATGAGCCATCCTGGCAATGTGAAACAATGACTACCAATACCTTGTTTTGGCCCCTTTCACTCCTGGTTGGTTGTGATTTTAATGGATACAGCTTGTGATTACAGTACAGCAATTGCTTCGTATCGAAGTACTAAGCTGCAGACTGTACTGCATGTGTGCGGGTTAGTGTGCGTGTGTGTGTCAAGCTCTTATCGGATCACGCCCGCACAGACAGTCGCATGCGTAACCACGTCAGTGTGTGTGGTGTGTGTGACCCGAAACGAGATGCAGCGGCCGGAACCCCTGGACAAAGGGATCGTTATCGCAAGCGTCGTATCATGGTAAATTCTCACACGTCGCATAGAATTGTTTTCGACATTCTTCAGGGCGACTCAGAGTGCTCTGGCCTGAGTTCAATTCCATCTTTGGTCCGAAAAGCTTTTCCACTGGGCCTAGTCCGAGAGGCTTTTCCGCCTGACCGTTGCCGTCTTTAATCGTGCCCGGGGCAGCGGGTCAGTTCGGACGAAAACCACACGTTTTCTGATAGGCTCGGAGCTACAAAACGCCGAACCAAAACCTGTTCACGTCGTCTGATTGGCTCGGCGGTTAGTAGCTCAGGGCTTGTGAAAGGCCGACTTTTAGAGTCTAAGAAACCCCAATCTGAGACGACTCTGGCCTTTGAAGAAAATGCGTGCCCAGCGCTTTGAAAGCACACTTTGCCTCTCTCCGCCATCATCATGATGATGATGTGCGTGCATCTGCCAAGCATGATGCTCCACCTTCAACCTACTAGTCGTGGCGCTACATCATGCTGCAGTCTCATCCTAATCCATCGTGGCATCACGGACGCCGCACCTTTGAGAGATTCTCTGCTGTGCGACTAGTTAATGCGCGCACGAGCAAGCAAGATCCCACCCAATCCCAAAAGAGCCACTAAAACCGTCCAACCCTAAACTGGCAAACGTGCCACAAATCACTGCTAGGGTGTCAGCGGATGCGCTGGGGCACAGTGATAGCCGTTATCACTTTGGTTATCACAGCCTCCAGTAGCCTCCTTCCCTTCCTTATCTCCAGAGCTTGGATCACGTTCACAAATTGACAATAGAACTGTTAGTCGCGAAACGCCTCACGGGAGGCTGACGCGGCCTTGACGGGGCCTCAACGGGCCCTTCACGCGATCCTGACGTGACCTGATTTCGAAATCAGCTTCGCGTGGCTTTCACGGGGCATTCACGGGCCCTACACTCGAGTGAAACAGATTCGGCCCTTTGCGGGGCTTTGACGGGAGTCTCGCAGCTGAAATTTCTATCACTGTTGCTTGCCTAAGCCTTCACAAAGGCTTCTCTGTAGGTTTGACGCGAATCTGACGGGAGTCTTACGATGTGTCACAAATTTCGACCAATCAGTGTGCAGCACAATTTGAAGCGAGAGAATTTCCAAAAGTGTTTTTCCAACAAACTGGTACAACAAATATATAGGTTCAAGCAAGGTACACAAGTGAGCTAGGTAACCAAACGTGTTCAGCACGTTACGCCTTGCCTCGTTTCATCCCGCGTCGCACACACAACCTTTTCCACCTTCGTCGAACGCGCCTGAAGTCCACATTTGGTTCCTTGTTGAACACGCCACGGTTGACCCACTCATTTTCCCCCGTCAACCAATTTCTCCCTGGTTCTTCACTTCTCTTTTCACCCGTCAATAATCTTCTTCACTCCTTTCGTGTTTCTCTTGCCGTAGCTCCCAAGTAATGTCGAGCTTCCTCTCTGGTTCCCAAGGCACTTTCAACACGCCACTGTCAGTCCGTCGTAGTCGTCGGTCCGAATTATGAGCGCCGTCGTTAGTGTGGTTCCGCGAACCACTCCAACAAGAACTTGGAGATTACTAGACATCTCAAAGATTCACCACCACTACTACTACCACTACCACCTGCAATACCAGGGACAAGTCACCTGCAAAACAATGGCGCCCCAGGTGGAGGAATCGGTTATCGATGCCGGCATGATGCAGGAGATCGTCCGTGCTGACGGCTACATTTGGCTGAAATACGGTCAAAAGCATGTTCACGACACCTACATTACTCGGTAAGCTGGTGCTTGCAATTTGAGAGTATCATTTTGTGGCTTGAACATTGAATTGGGTTAAAAAAACCAGTGTTCGAATCACTGTCTGCAATGTAACACAATCACAGAAAATGTCGTGAGGTAGTAATGATCATGACACCTGAAATTCTGATGGCACTGCCTTCCCCATGGACCCTCGTGCGGCAGGTGCTACTACAGATGCTCCTGCTCCAGAAGCCAGTCCTCCTGCACAGCTAAGAAGACCGTGGAGTATGACCGGCGAAGAGACTATATGCTGTCAACAATTCACATCAACTACAGCAGCCCCCACCACAACCACCCGCCTCCTCTTGAGAAACGCATCTGCGAGGAACCGAGCTGTCCGCTGGCAGTCAGAATGCACCCTGATGCCGAGGCACCTAAGAAACAGACCAGGATACATCCACCCCAGGAGCGCCATAAATATGACAATGCTTCCCCTGCTGCTGCTCCACCAGAGCCTTCGGCTACAGAAAGCTGCTGTTCTGTTTCCTGCGCTGTCAACGCCAACCTTCATTCTGTTTCTGACCCGCATTCTGTGCAACATCATCATCATGATGCTCCTACACTGCTCGCTCCTCCTGCCACCCCTGCAGCCATCTCCGCCAGCAGTGCTGCCGCCGCTCCAGAGCACGCAGCCGGTCCCTCTACTGTTTCTAAAGAGTTTTTCCAGCAATTTCTTGCCCCTGCAAACAATGAGGATGGTGAGGATGATTCCCAAACAGCTTCCGACGCCGCTGGTGTTTGTTCTTCAAATTGTGGATCCAGCTCGGAAGGCGCACCGATTGGTGAAGCTCCTTCCATTCAGCTCTTTGGTAGCAGCATTCTCCTTGATGAAAGCAGCGCTACATTATCAATCCAGAACAGAGAATATAGCGAGTGGAGTGATGGTGGTTTGCTCGACGACACACCGTGTGCTAAAAGAGCTAGGCGCACTGAATCAGCCCCCGCACGCTTCAGTCCCAGCCCTGTTTTCGTTGAAGCTGCTGGTACTAATGAGGAGCAGCTTCAGTTCAGTTCTGAGTTTCTGCCGACATCGATTTTCCTATCCTGCCTTTGTACGTCTTTGATGAAGACGTTACCGCTTTGATCTCTCCAATATTTGATAATTGCGTCGACATAGATTGGGGAGAGTGTGAAACCTTGGATGGACTTACCGAGTTGCACAATCCTATAGTTGACGTACCAAAGTCAGGACGTGATCACTGTGGGGATGTTGCGCTGAGAGATTTTCTTGCTTAGTAGTGGATTGGCTGAACATGCTGTGGGTGGAGTGATAGTGTTATGGAATGCTTAGCTTGCCCTATGTTGTTGAATACAAGTTGTCGTATGTCGATAGTACCGTACCACATCCCAATCAAGCATGTTCCATATAACAAAAGGGAGGTGAGAACACCACCGTTCAAATATGTGCATTAGACAATCAAACAACTCATATATGTCAAGTGCAAATGAGCGAGTATGATAAGAGCACAAAATTGGGCAAGCAGAATATGTCACTAGTGAAATAAAATTAGCATGGGCTAGATGTTACAGCCATGGGCAAGCGTCAATAGGCATCACTATGGGCATTAGGATGTACATGCCGCTTGATAGAATTATAGTAGACGGGGCAAGAGTAGACGGCTTGGCAGAATTACGGTGATATGCGAATGATGCCCTTGGTCATGAAAGGGTTCTGTATTTATCGAACATGGTGCCAATCCTTTCTCGCTTGGATCGTTGTAGCGTTAGGGGCTTGTTGAAGGAAGTTGGCACCGCCCTCGCTTTGGCAAAGCTGACTTCGTGGTCGGGTCTGTGGGAGACGCAGCCGACCCTCTGCAGTATGCGAGATCAGAAGCTTCTGCGAAGGTTGGGTTGCTTGTACACGAGGTGTACTAGGGAACCGATGCAAGAGTAACTAAAGCATGCGGGAGTGCAACGCAAACGTCTCGTGCACATGTGCGAGTGATGCGGCTGGTGCAGGGGTTCGTAGTTGTTCATCTGCGCAGGGTCGCATCTGACCCTGCGCACCCTCGTGAATGCACAGATAAACTTGTCAGAACATATAGCTTACTTGTTTCTGTAGGCTATAGTGGGGTATCCCATAGGGGGTACAACCCAATTAGGGTTTCCTATTTGTACTCACTTCGTTCATAGTCATTTCATTCTCGTTCTTTGTTTCCACATGGTATCAGAGCAGGTTCCCTCCTAGGGACTGCTTCTAGGGCCCACCGAACCGCGCCCCGAGGCGCGTTTTTTTTTTTTAGCGACCCGTCGTGTCGCCCCTGGCGGACCGTTGCGCCGCCCTTCCCCTCGCGGCTCCGCCGCCCTTCCCTAGCGGCCCCGCCGCCCTTCGATCGCGGCCCCGCCGCCCTCTGCTACGCGGCCCCGCCGCCCTCTGCTACGGGGGTCGGAGTGGCTCGTCCCAGCGGAGCAGCTCCGGGGGTGGTCAGCGCCAGCAGCAGCAGCAGCAGCAGCAGCCGCAGCAGCAGCCACAGCAGCAGCAGCGCTCTCGCACCGTCCCCGCCCCTCAGCAGCTCCGTGAGTGGTACTCGCAGCGTCAGCGTGGTGGTGCGCTTGGTCCTTGCCCCTACGTTCTCCGCACCGGTGACCGTGCAGGGGAGAGGTGTGGAGGTGCCCACACTGCCCGCCGCTGCTTTGGTCGCCTGACTGACGCCTGGCGTCAGCAGTTTCCGGAGGCAGCTGAGATCCCCCGCTGGGGAGAGCTGTCTAGGGCTGGTGTAGCTATTTATGATCTTGATTTTGATGCTATTCTCTCTGCTATGTATGCTGCGATTGGTAGTGATGAGGATGACTGTTACCGGTGTTTCCCGCCCGACCCGGGCATTGGTACTGCCGCGTCAGGTACTAGTGAGGCTGCTGCTCTAGGTGCCAGTGCGTCTGTGCTCTCAGGTGCTGGTGAGTCTGCCCTCTCAGGTACTGTGTCGGCTTCGGCCTCTCACACCTTCACCCTTGACTCTGGAGCGTCTCGCTCCTTCTTTAGGGACCGCACCACTCTCACGCCGCTGAGTCGGCCGGTTGCAGTGTCCCTGGCTGACCCCTCTGGGGGGCCTGTCCTGGCTCGCTTCTCCACTGTCCTCCCGTGTCCGGCGGCCCCCTCTGGCACCCTGACTGGTCTCTACCTCCCCTCGTTCTCGACGAACTTGGTGAGTGGTGCTGACCTCCAGGATGCGGGTGTCCACCAGTTCACCCCTGCTCGTCAGCGGGTGACCCACTGCACGGAGGAGGATACAGGTCGCCACCTGGCTACGTTTACACGTCGGCCAGGGTCGAGCCTGTACACACTGACCACTGCTTCTCCTCCAGGTGCTGAGTCTGGTAGGGTCCCTTCGTCTGGTCAGGTGTTTGCTGCAGCGTCCAGGTCTGGTCCTGAGTCTGCCCCCTGCTCGTGTCGTCGTCTGTCTCACGAGACCCTCCTCTGGCACCACCGCCTTGGCCACCCCTCTCTGCTTCGGCTCAGAGGCATGGCCTCGCGAGTCCTTGTGTCTGGTCTTCCCCGGTCTCTCCCTCCCCTTCCTCCGGGCCCTGGCCCCACCTGTGTCCCCTGTGTCGAGGGGCGCCAGCGTGCTGCCCCTCACTCCTCCCAGTTTCCTCCCACAGAGGCCCCGTTGCAGACGCTTCACATGGACGTGTGGGGCCCAGCCCGCGTCCGTGGACAGGGTCAGGAGCGCTACTTCCTGCTGGTGGTTGACGACTACTCGCGTTACACCACAGTCTTCCCCTTGCGCAGCAAGGGTGAGGTCACTGAGGTGCTGATCGACTGGATCCGCGCAGCTCGTCTCCAGCTTCGGAGGAGCTTTGGCTCTGACTTCCCTGTTTTGCGTCTGCACTCGGACAGAGGTGGAGAGTTCTCCTCCGGCCTCCTGAGTGCCTACTGTCGTGTGCGAGGCATCCGTCAGACCTTCACGCTTCCGGACTCACCGCAGCAAAATGGGATTGCTGAGCGCCGCATTGGCATGGTCATGGACGTCGCTCGTACGTCCATGATGCATGCGGCTGCTCCCCATTTTCTGTGGCCGTTTGCGGTCAGGTACGCTGCGCACCAGATCAACCTCCACCCCAGGGTCTCTTGACCGGAGACCTCCCCAGCCCTGCTGTGGACGGGGAAGGTTGGCGATGCGTCGGCGTTCCGGGTCTGGGGATCTCGGGCGTTTGTTCGCGACCTGTCTGCGGACAAGCTGTCCCCTCGTGCTTCTCCCTGCGTCTTCCTGGGGTTCCCCCCCGACGCCCCTGGGTGGCAGTTTTACCACCCCACCTCTCGACGTGTTCTGTCCTCCCAGGACGTCACGTTCGACGAGTCGGTACCCTACTACCGCCTCTTCCCCTACCGCACTCCGTCCCTCCCCCCACCCCCGCTCTTCTTGGTACCAGGTCCCCCCCCGGTAGTCCCCCTCCCCCCTTAGGGTCCTGCCCCTTCAGGTGTGTCCCAGGTAGACGCGGTCGAGCCTGTCGAGGTCACTGGTGACTCTGGTGCTGCTGCGGGAGCTGAGCCTGGGGGTGCGGAGTCTGGGGGTGCTGAGCCTGGAGGTGCCGAGTCTGGGGGTGCTGAGCCTGGGGGTGCTGAGCCTGGGGGTGCTGTGCCTGGGGGTGCTGAGCCTGGAGGTGCCGAGTCTGGGGGTGCTGTGCCTGGAGGTGCTGGGCCTGGGGGTGCTGAGCCCGGGGGTGCCGTGCCTGGGGGTGCTGTGTCTGGAGGTGCTGAGCCTGGAGGTGCTGTGCCTGGGGGTGCTTCGTCTCGCCGGGAGCCACTCTCCCCACAGGAGCTGCGTGAGTGGTTTGCCGGGCGCTGGAGGCGTGCTGCTGGTGCTGGTGGTTCTTCGGCTGCAGAGGGCACTGCTGCTGCGCGCCCCGCCGGCGCTCGCACTGTGGGTGCTGGAGCTGCTGAGTCTGAGAGTTCTCCTGGAGCTGGTCCTGCTGAGGGTGTTGGCGCTGAGCCTGCCGTTGGCGGCCCGACTGACAGTGATCCTGGTGCTGCGGCTGGAGGTTCTGGAGCTTCTGGTGGTGCTGCTGGAGGTGCTGCTGGAGTGGGTGCTCCTGCCGGGGCTGCTGGTGCTGTTCCTGCTGTTTCTAGCGTCGCCGCGCGGCCCCGACCGTACTTCGTTCCGCTCCTGCAGCAGGTTCTTGGTCTTACACCTCCTCCTCCTCCCTTAGAGGGTCCGCAGCCTGTCCGGTCACAGCCACAGCTACAGCCTGCCTCCCCTTTGCCTGCTCCTTCTCCCTACGCTGGTCCGACTGGAGGTCTTACTGAGCGTCGTGAGCCTGCGTCTCGTCCTGTGTCGCCTGTTCGTACTGAGCGCGCTAGTGGTCGCGGGTCGCGTCAGCGTCCTCCTCCTGTCCCTGGCACGCACCGGATGTCACTGCGTCCGTCCACTGCTCCTCTGCGTGCCCCTTTGCCTTCTCCTCCTGCTTCCTCTCTTCCTGCTCTTGCCGACCCGGAGTCGGACGCTCTTCGTGCTGCCAGTCCTACTGTCACGCGTCTCCTGGCTACTGCTGTCACTGACCCCTCCTTCGAGTCGTCTGCTGCGTCTGCCCTTGTCACTGAGCTTGTCGACTTTGCTGCGCGCTGTCGTCTAGACTACGCTGCTCGTCTTGTCACTGAGTCTGAGTCCGCCTGTCCTCCGTCCGTCGGGGGTGAGTGTGCCCTTGGCACGGACGTCCTTGAGGACAGGCAGGAGGAGTTCCAGTGTCTGGCCGCCGCTTCACCTCGTCTCGCGTCTGTACTGCTAGCCCCTGAGGGAGACCCGGATGCACCAGACATCCCGACTCCGCGCTCTTACGCGGAGGCGATAGAGGGTCCCTACTCCTCTCAGTGGCAGGCAGCTATGGATGCAGAGATGGCTTCCTGGAAGTCCACAGGCACCTACGTTGACGCTGTTCCCCCTCCTGGGGCGAACATCGTCAGTGGCATGTGGATTTTCAGGGTGAAGCGGCCGCCGGGTTCTCCGCCTGTCTTCAAGGCGCGTTACGTGGCTCGTGGCTTCAGTCAGCGGCAGGGGGTTGACTACTTTCAGACCTTCTCCCCCACCCCGAAGATGACCACTCTTCGGGTTCTGCTACACGTTGCTGCTCACCGTGACTACGAGCTGCACT